AACCATTTTAAAAAAGAATGAACCATGGAGGGTAGTTTAAGACATTCTAAAATATTCTGAATAGTGGGTGAATGATTCTGTGTGTTATGTGAATTATATCACAATAAAGAGGTTTAAAATATATAGGTAAACATATTTTTCTATATAGAGATCTAGATCTAGGTATCACTATAAATTCTATCTAGAGGAATTCCAGAAGGGAATGGATGGAGTGATGGAGCAGTGTTACTTAAGAGACAGCAGTCTATACTTTTCTAAAACTGATTAAAGTCATATGTTCTCAGAGACAAAGCTCTACATACACTCTATAAGGAATAAGAAAATGTTAAAATCCTTTATCTACCCCATCATGTCATTTCCCCCTTCAAGCACCTTTTGTATTAACTGCTTGGAGTATTTGTTCACACATATATATGTCTATATATACATTTATACAAACATACTACATAGGTCAATGTATGTGTTTTTTTTTTTTTTAAAGGGGGATCTTATAGTCCCTCCCTGGGACTACAGTGGGTTAAAGCTCAACATTGCAAGCTGGCAGCAGCTACTTAGGTGAGTTCCATCCCCGCCCCCAAAGGTGACCCACAAGCGTGCAGACCTCTCCTGACTTGTCTGCTGCTCCCCTCAGCAGTGTACTTCATCAATCTGCCTGTTCTGCTCCCCACTGTCTCTGGTGAATCTTCTCACCCCCTGTACCTCTGGCCTGTACCCCAATTCTGTATGTATAAATAAATAAATCTTTAAAAATATATATACACACACACACATATCTTTAAAAAAAGATAATAAGCAGATAAAAAGAAAGTAAAGGAGGACAGAATAGAATTAATTTCTTTAAGGAGGGGGAAGTGTATAGAATGTATATTTTACTATAACTATCTAGACTCACTTTTTTTTTAAGCTTTGTGTCTTTTTTAGAACTTTGCGATTCAGAAAGAACTAGAAAGGGAGAGAAAAAATTGGAGATTGGACTGAGATAAAGGAGCATGAGGCCTGTGGAACCTAGGGTGCTGGAAAATATAAAACTCAAAAGCTGATGTAGAGGCTCGCACGGGCAGCAAGCAAATGCATTTAGCACTGACCCACTGAACCCAACTATATCTGGGTGTTGCTACGCAGCTTAACAAAAAAGGAGTGACTTTGTGCTGTTGGTTGAAAATGTAGTAGGTAAGAAAGACGATGTTTAAGTTCAGAATTCTCAGAGGTTGACAAATTGGAGGTCCTGATACATGGCACTTGTAGAGACAGGGATTACAGAAGACAGCATTCACATTCATGTTTTACGACCCATTTAGGATAAATGCATTTACTTGTCTTTACATGAGGAACACTCAGAAAAGAAGAAATTTAAGAACACTATATTATGTGATCGTTTTGGAACACAAACTAAAATTGGAATCTGTTTCTCATCCTAGTCATTTTTCCCAAGTGAAATGGAACAAACACCGGGGGACCCAGTGGGTGAGCCCCTACCCACAGGCTTAAGAATGCAGGATACACCAAGAGAAAATAACAACAGGATATATTTAAATAGGGAGTGAGAAAGGGGAGAGCAGAGAGAGAAAGAGAAAAAAATTTACAGGCCAGCAGGTGGCTGGATGCTGTCTGTCCTACTCCAGATAGCATCTACTGAGCAGTGTGAAGTGTGAGAGGCCACTCTGCCACCAGGCAGCAGTTGGGGTGCAAGCAGGAGCCAGCCAAAAAACAGTCTGTCTTCGTAAAACCCACATGGTGGCTCTACTCTGCCCCTCACTCCCGGCAAACCCCATTCAGGAGGTGAGGGGTGAGGTGCAGAAAGTTCTGCCTTTCCCATCCAGTTGGCTATGAGTGCAACTATGGGTTGAAAGACTGTTGCTCATGTTGGTCTCCAGAGCCACCAGTGCCAGCCTCCAGGCCTGGCAGTGGGCGGAGAGGCTCTGCTCAAGGCCAAACTCACAGCTATCACTCTGTACCACTGCATCTTCCCACACAGGGAGTGACTTGCCTTTCTTTGCCAGTATCCGGCTAGTCTATACCATGGGTGACTTCCTTCCACACTGCGTTGTTGTGGAAGAGGAGTGGCTCCTATATTTTTGTCATTTTTCTCCCACCTTCAGAGGGCAGGTCTAGAGATTTTGCAAGATGAAATGATAGAAATAAAGACAATTCACTATCTGTGGTGGGGCTTGTTAGCCAGAAGACAGAAGACCTTTAACACAGCTATACACTAAATCACGATGTTCCTGAATGCAGGGACTGGATGGAAGCCAGGTTGCTTTCTTTAGAACAAGGTTGAGTGTGTTCTATGTGTGGGCGGATATGCGAATCTGATATTTGGCAGAGGTAGAGGCTACCTAGCTGTTCTTCAAACTGAAGTAAAGCAGCTCACCAAAGTGATATGAAAATGACTTCAAGATGGAAACATCTGGCCACTCAGAAAGGAACATCTAAACTTCAGCAGAGCCTCTGGAAAAGAGTAAGTCCTTTCTCCTTTTTTAAATGGAATTTTATTATCATATTAGTTGAATTTTATTTTTGTTTTTAAATATTTACTTATTTATGCATACAAGAACTGGGGTACAGGTCAGAGATGTGGGGGGTGGGGTGGGTGAGCGGATTCACTTGAGACAGAATGGGGAACAGAAAAGGTGGGCTGACTATAATACATTGCTGAGGGGAGCAGTATGCAGGACAGGAGAGGTCTGTGGTGCCATGGGGGTCACCTCCCTGTCCAGGGATGGAACTCATGTTGCAGTGGCTGCAGATAGCTTCAGACTGTTGTGCTTTAATCCCTTGCACCACCAGGGAGGGCCCTAGTTGAATTCTAAACTATGTCTTTGTGTCATTCCTTGTGTTGAAAACAAAGGTAAAAACAATAGCCCTCAAACAGAGGCAATTGTGCTAAACCCACCAAGATTTAATACCTAATCTAACCTTGGTTTCAACCTCTTCCAAGAATGTAGTCTTAACTGGTTGGCATGGATTTTTCTGGTCAGTGCCAAAGAGATAAACGTTTCCATTCCCTAAAGGAATGACATTACCTATTTTTATTTTTATGTTTTCTCACTTTGACTTTGCTTAACATGCAAGGGAGATCTCCCCCCAGGGATGCTCTCTGATTCCTTTTCCTTTGTGGAATAAGGGCAAGATTCATTATCTTTTCTGGTGAGCCCTGAGATTTTCTCTTATATTCTTAGAACGATCTTTGCTTTGAATTATATGAATGGCTTTCTTCTAACCACAAGAGCTTTGGTAAAGCAATAATTTCATTTTTTAAAAGTTTATTAACATCTAAAGAGAGTACTGAGTGGAATTAGATTTTTGGGGGCTCTCAGATCATTCTTGGTAAAAAGTGCTTGGGCAGTGGCTGGTGTCCAGTTAGAAGAACAAGACATCTGTATTATTTGGCTATGGCTGCTATAAAAAATTACCACCAATGTAGAGGCTTAATGCCCATTTATTATCTCACTGTACTATGGGTCAAAAGTCTGAAATTATGTCAAAATTAAAAAAAATAATTTTTAAAAGTACATTTAACAGTGAACTCCAATTAATATGATTAATGCTAGATGTGGAAATTGAATCATAAACTCAGTCTGAAGGAAGAGAGAATAGTATTGTAAGTGATAGGACCTCTAACCCCAGTAATAGCTCTTCTAGTCATGTGATCTTGGTTAGTTAAATTATCCTATTCTAGTAATAAATAATGTATCGCTCTATAATAAAAGTCATATTTAAGTCACAGACTCATTATAATATTATGAGAGTACTTACAACAAAATATCTGTAAAAAACGACTTTGCATAGGTTAAATGGTCAACAAATGTTAATAAGTAGTTTTTAGAAAATGAAGTAGATAAAGTGGCTGCTTATTCCATAAAGATTGCACACTTTTGCTTTCAAACAATGAAATGTCCTGTCATAAGAAAATGATTTAGGGCCTCCCTGGTGGTACAAGGGGTTAAGTCTTAGCACTATGACACTATCAGCAGCCACTGCAGGACTAAATCTATCTCCAGCCAAGAAGCTGACCCACATGGCACAGCAGATTTCTCCTGTCTCGCCCACTGCTCCCCTCAGCAGTTTATTTTAGTCAGTCTGCATGTTCTGCTCCCTGCTCTGTCTCTGGTGAATCCTCTCATGCTTGCACCGCTAGCCTACACCTCAGTTAGTTAATAATGTCTGTGAGATCTGTTGTTTTAATTGTTTATTCTTTTACAATGTTGAGTAGTATGAACATATCATTAGTTTATAGGAGATAGTGTTTTCTGTTAGCTGAGATCCACACTAAAAACAGAACCAAGATTTAGTCTTCAGATTTAGTAAGAGTAAAATTAAAAATCTATTACAGTTCATAAATTATAAAGTTGCTATTTTTATAAGACTTCAGCAATTCTGAGACAGTCTTATGTCTCCCAATAAAATCAACTTACTTTGCCTGAGTATTCAAAAGGGAAATTATTTATTCTCAATTCTTGTTTTGTAGAATTATAAATTAATGGTGATGATTACACTGTAAAGGTAAGTTCACATATATGCACAATATAGTAATTCTGCAGAGGTCCCAATAGAAATAATACATTAGACAAATAAAATTAACTTTTTAAGAGTCAAAGTACAAAAACAGTATGTACTGACTTTGAGTAAGGATATGTCATTTAAAGAAGACAGGCATCTAAGTCGGCAAGACTGAAGTCGAAAAGAATTTTCTTTTATAGCTAAAGAAAGAGTATGTCAATCAAAAGAAGAATTAATTAGCCTTTTAAACAAAGGAAAAGGAAAAAAAATCTCTGAAGAAAATTTTGCCTGCTTTCAGTCAACACTGCTTCAGGGAAGCTCATTTGGAAAATGTCAGAAATCATTTTCAATGGCAAATCTAACTCAATTTTTAAAGTAGGTGCACCAGGTATCTTAACAGTAAGTATTTAGGATACCTTATTCTCTTTGTTGAATTTCCATATCTGCCGCTCCGTCTTGTGGTCAGCACTTTTATTTCTTCCCATGGAGATGTCTCCATAGGGTTAGAATATATTAAGTTTGAAAACTTGATCAATTTGATCTTCCTAGTAGGTGTTGACCCCCAAAATATTCAGGCTGTAATATAATCAGAAAAGTGTTTGTTTAAATAGGAATCATGATTGGCATGCCTTTTCATTTTATTACTTTACAACACTTTTTTTTTTTTTAGATTTATTTATTTATCCATACAGAACTGGGGTACAGGCCAGAGGTGCAGGGGTGGTGAGAAGATTCACCAGAGACAGAGTGGGGAGCAGAACAGGCAGATCGAGGAAGTACACTGCTGAGGGGAGCAGCGGGAGGGTCAGGAGAGATCTGCCTGCCATGTGGGTCCGGGGTGGGCAGGGATCAAACTCATGCTGAAGTGGCTTTAGATTCTCAATGCTGTGCTTTACCTGCTGCACCACCAGGGAGGGCCCTAAAACACATTTTTAACAAGAAGTTGTTTATTCCTTTAAATAAAGTTGTTTATTACTTTAAAACACATTTTTAACAAGAAGTCAAGTTGTTGAGTTTCCAATATCCATCTCGGGCTGACTACATTACCCTGTTGTAGTTAATATGCTCCGCTGCTCTTAATTTTCATAAGTCGGTAGTTAGGTCCAGATTTAGAATTATTTTTGAACTTTTTGGCAAGACTTTTTAAAAGGTAGCATTGTGTACTTTAATAATAACATATATAATGTTTCACTATGAGAGTTGAGCAGCTCTGATGTTCGGTTGGCTAGATCCATTTGTTTACTAAGGGTTGCAAATTGATGGCACCTTAATTATATTATTCCTTACCTATTTATTAGGTGGAATATTTCTACAAAAACAAAATAATTCTAATTAACTCTGGTTCAAATTTTCCAATGCAGATCTCCCCCTCATATTCTTAAATAATCTTAAGAAAATACTGTTTTTAAAGATCTTAGTATGTTTCCTCAGTTGTTCATTTTAATTAAGCAATGTATTAAGTCAGACCAGTGCATCCTTCACATTGCCTCACAGATTTCCCAATAAATGAGGGGGGATGTAGGCTTGTGCCTCCCTTTTTAGTGTATTCATGACAGGAAGAATAAAAGTGGAAGGACAGATCCTTTCACCTCAGGGGAGGATTTGGGTCAAAGTGGAGTGTGCCAAGTTAAGTTGTTCCATGTATCAGTATGGCCTTACCTCACTCCCCAACCAGTTCCTGTCCCAAATTCCCATTTAGCTGCCAATAAAGGGGGTAAACATCCAAACTCTCACCTTGGAATTATTTATAATTTGGAAAAGGGCAGATGAAACTATCATTAAAACCAAGTGAGGATTTTTAAATAAAATAGAATAATGAAATAATGTCATTGACAGAGCATTAAGACAAATACTGAATTAAACCCTGGAAAAAAATGCCACCAAGATAAAGTCATAACTGAGGTTCTGAAACTGGCCCTAAGGCTTAGAGAGCTCTGGGCATGAGGGAGCCTGGGCTGATCTCATCTGTCTGCTAGGCGGATGGCCTGGGGCTGTTTAGCAAGCATACTACATGTCTGTCTGGCTCCATCAGCAGCAAGAGTCCTTCACTCCATCACAGAGGACTCTCCAGGATGTTCGAGTTGTCTTTAAAGCTCTTTGAGAAAGTGCTTGGCACATTTACTACTCGGACTGGAGGAGGCATGTTGGGGAGACTTCGGGAGATTGGGCTAGCTCTTTGGCTGTTGACTAGTGCTATCACAGAGAGCTTTTACAGCTGTTGCCAATTCACTTGAGCCTTCTCATTGTGCAGATACTCACTAAGGCCAAAGAACCCTGTCCTGAAGTGGGCCACCTTATAGCTCGCCAACAGGGTGTCACGGAGGGCTTTGCTCACACCCTTGAAAAGCATGCTGGTGTTTTGACCCTTGAAAGGAGTACTGGTGTTTTGAAGATCTACTAGGTAAGAGGGGATACTGGCTTTTGCATGAAATGGCATCTCAGAAGCACAGATAGTATCCAGAGCATTCATCCATCCTGTATAGATCTTTGTAGCAATTCTGATTTCAGCAGTTTAAAGCAGGTTTCAGGGCTGATTGTTGCTGATAGGGCTAATAGTATCAGCTATTAAATATTTTGTGTATCACCAATTCAGGGAGAAATATCAGCCTCGTAGTTGCACCTTCTGACTTTCACTATGGGTACAAGGATGCCTGTCTGAATCCCAGTAGAGGCCTTTATTCACTTTTTCTAAGTATGAAAATTGTCCAACTTTTCCTACTTAGCTGAATCAGTGAGAGGGACAAAGTGACACCCAAGTATGGGAAAATATTTGCAGGATGTTGAATGACTATCAGTAAGGTGGCAATTTACTTCTGTGAATATGACTTTTACAAAAGATTTGTGAGTGACTGTACTTCCTTACATTCTTTTACCTTTTAGCAAAACATATTTGGAAAGTTTATTACTTAAATAAAACTGGAAAGTTTACTCATCTTAAGATGTCTTCAAATTTTGTAATGGGACTTACAGGTGTATTATTACAGGGTATGTTAATGTCTCAATTTTGGGAAACAGTCAAACTATGCATTAAAAAAATCAATGCTTGGACAAATAATGCATAACTATTTATATGAGGTAGTAAAATAGTCAAACTTAGAGTAGCAGAAAATAGAATGGTGGTTGCCATAGATGGGGGTGAGGAAATAGGGAGTTGTTGTCCAGTGGGTATAAAGTTAGTTATCTAAGATAAGGGATTTCTTGAGGTCTGATGTATAATATAGTGCCTATAGTTAGCAATACAGTATTAGTGTGCCTAAAAATTTGTGAAGAGGTAAATCTTGTGTTAAGTGTTCCTACCATAAAATTCTTTTGTGTTCATTTAAAGCAAAGGGACACCAGAAAACTTTTGGAGGTGAGGATATATTTATTATCTTGATTGTGGTGGTGGTATCATGGGTGTATGTGTATGTCCAAACTCATCAAATTGTATAATTAACATGTGCAGCTTTTCTGTGTATTGATTGTACCTTTATAAACTTGTAAAAATCAATGTTTATTATAATAGCTGGAGAAATCCAAATATGATCCATACCTGAGTTAGTAGTGTTGTATCAGCTTCAATCTTCTGGTTTTGACAATATGCTGTTAAAATAAAAAAGGAATCCTTAACATTAGGGTGGTAAGTATTATTGTATTTTAATTTTTGATAGTTAAACTTGCAATCACTTTATGCTGTTGCACAACTCTTACCTTTCCTGGTAAGAATAACTTCTGGACCTATTATTTTTTCACATTTTTCCCAAGTTTATATGATTACATACAAATATACACACATATTGATGTTCATCATTTTATTTCATACCAATGTGATCTAATTGTATATGTTTTCCTACAGGTATTTTTTTCCTTACTCAAAAACACATTAGGAAAATTTATTCAACTAATTGATACAGATGGAACTCAGTCTATTTTATAGTCCCATAGTGGTCAATGTACCATGGTTTATCCAACTGTTTCCTTGAATGACAGAAAAATTTCCTTCTCAATGTTTTGCTACACAAATGTTGTAATAAACATCTTGTAAATACATACCTTAATCTGATGCTTTTATATCTATAGGACAAATTTGCAAGAGATGAATGACTAAGTTGAAAGAATATGAATTAAAGCAAAAACTTTTAAAATATTTTCAGATTATTTTCCAAAATAGTTTATACATCTTGCATTTCTAACATCAAAATATGAGAATATACTTTTTAGTAATGAGATGTTATATTCCATTGTTATATTGATTTATGTTTCCCTAAATACTCAGTAAACTGAGCAGGATTGCAAGATTTATTGAGCATTTGGATTTTCTTTTTTATGAATTGCTAGTCATACTCTTGCCCTTTTTCTATAGGACTATTTTAATCTTTTCCTTAATAATTTGTAAGAACTTCTTGTATATAGTAGATATGAATCTCTTATCTTCCATATGAATTGGGAATCTTTCTTCTAAGCTTTTTTTGCCTTTTAGTCTTTTTTTTTTAGATTTATTTTTATTTATTTATGCATACTAGGCCAGAGGTACGAAGATTTACCAGAGACTAATTGGGGAGCAAAATGGGTGGAGCAACTGAATACTGCTGAGGGGAGCAGTGGGTGAGAGGTCTGCTGGTGCCATGTGGGTTAGCTCCAGGGCTGGAAACTGAACTCAGGACCTAGTGGCTCAGGATAGCTTGATAGCACTAAGAATTTAACCCTTGTGTCACCAGCAAGGCCCAAGATCAGATTTCTTATAAACATTTATGGATTCTTGTTTTTTCCCTTGGAAATGTGATGTCCATTCTCTCATGGCAATAATTGTTGTTGAAGATGGGAAGCTCCCGTTTGGCAAACTACAAGCACTTCTGCCAATGACATCACCACCAAGCCCACTTTAGCACAGGCAAAGAAGCAAGAATCCCTGGAAACAAGAGAGTGTTAAGAGAAATGGTCAGAGGTGAATATGGCAGACCTTAAGGCTATCTAAGAACTCTGACTTTTACTCCAAATGAAGTGGGAGTCTGTTGAGGGATTTCAGGCAAAAGAGTGATTTGACTTAGATTTCAAAATAATCACCCAGCTGCTCGGCTGATACTAGACTGTGTGAGAAGACACTAGGCTGCAATTGTGATAGCAGGGGGAATCTGAGCAGAGGTTTCATTAATTTTTTACAGTGATGATGAGATGGTAGGAAGGGAGGTATGTTAAGTGGTGGAGTTAGGATATGTTCCAAGGTAGAGTTAACTGAAATCTCCTGATGGATTGTATATGAGATGTGAAAGAAAGAAATCAGGCCAAAACCCCAAATTGGGGAGAAGGATCTGGAGTTTCATTTAGGACACACTCACCTGGAGATGTATACTAGACAGCCAAAGGACAAACTGAAATTTGTCTTGACACAGTAAACCTTTGTTTACTATTAGATACCAGTTTTCTGGAGTTCAGGTACTATGTCTGGCTGGCAATAAACTTTCCTCTTCTGACCTAGTCTCATTATTTTTTTATATCATATTGTTTGTGGCAGAATGAAGAGTATCCCAGAAGCCCCCAACCTGACTGCTCTAAATGGATTCTGCTATGAGCAGCTTCAAAACAAAATATAGTATGTAAAACCTTCAGTAGAAAAGAACTTTAATATACTAAATGTACAGCAGAGAGAAGAGAAAGAATGTATTTAAGTTTCCCTACAAAACACGCAGCTATCCAGTCCCCTGTGGGCAAATGCCCAGCCAAACAGACTTGGCCCAAAACAGGGTCACTGAAGCCTGAAAACTTGCCCAAAGTCTAAGGCACCTTTTGGTGGGGAAACCTAGGGGCAGATGAGGCCGGGCAAGTGTGAAAGGAAAGAAGCAAAATCAAAATACAAGTCAAGATAAAAGCTGCCCTTGTAAGCCTCCCCGTTAGTCTCACCCACACCTGTCTCTCTCAAGAGTCTCCTTCCATGCCTCCTGTTCCTTGTACAAATTCAAGGCTGAGGAGCAAATGTGGCTTCTTCTTTACATGTCTCTCTGTTCCACGTGTCTCTTCTATCTTCCCCTAGTCCTCTTCTTCCTTCCATCCCAGGCTGTTTCTAGCTTCTTCTCAATGCACAGCTCCACCTTTCCTTTGGTGAGGCAGGGAACCTGGAAATTCCCGTTTATGGCGATCATACTGTTACAATGCTCATGTTAATACAATGTTTATGTCCATGGTGGAGTTAAGGCAAATTGTGGTGGCAAATGAGATGGTGGGGAACGGAGGCAATCGCCTTTAGTCTCCGTAGTCCTACTGCTTGAGAATCCCCAATGAGATATAAATGCTCTGAAATCCTACCGAGCAAACTGAGGTTCAACAACGATCAAGCTGTCTTATCTTTTAAACTTGAAGGAAAATGTGAACAAAGGTGAAATTCCGTACTTGGGGCTCTTTCTCCATCTGCCACTTCTGTTACCTGTCAGGTGTTCAGCAGTCTGTGCTTAAAGACGCTTGCTTTTTTTTTCCATACCCATTCTCGGCATTTTAACTTTCCCTCGAACTTCCCTGGGCCTACTTAATCTCAACAGCAGGAATCTTCGTGCAGAGAAACTGAAATAATAGGAAAATCCTGGACTAAGACTTTCAGGTTCCAGCTACTACATGTCTTTCATCCTGTGTTAACAAACTCTTCAGTGCTCTATCCAGGTGAATGTCTCAGATATCTGATCGTCTTTGCAGTCCCCAACTCCTCCTTTGCAAAATTCACTTCTTTGCGATTCCAGGTCTGAAAAACAGGGGTGTTGCGGATCAGACAAGGTCCGCTCTTAAGTATCTGTCACCAGAACGACACCACCCTCCGAAGAGCAGGCGGGCGAAGCTCGGGGCGGGACTGAGGTCCAAGGTTTGGGCTGGCTCCCGCGCCTTGCCCGCACCGTCGCCCGCCGCGCTTCCCGCACGGCTTCCCGGACCGCTGGGGGCTTCCGGCGCCGTCCCCTCTTCCCGGGGGCGGGGCCAACGCTCACGTTCCCGCCTCTCCGGCTGCGCGCGGCTGCGGGCCGCGGTCACGTGAGCGCAGCGCGGCGGGGGAGGGGCCCTGATTTCCGGGCGGAGGAAGGAGATGCGGCCGCGTGAGGACTAGGCGATTTGAAAACACGCTCCCGAAACGAGAGGCTGAGGCCGGTGGCGCACGCTGTTGCCCGGTGGGCTTCTGCTTGGACGCTTTTCCCCCTCGGTCTCCGTGCTCAGGTCTCGGCCGGGCCCTCAGGTGAGCGGCCGCCGCCCGTCGGGCCGGGCCCTCCTGGGGCGCGGGACGGCGCACGGGGCGGTCGACCCCCCGGTTCGCGGCCCTGCCGGGCGCGGCCGGCCGTGACCATTCTGCGCCCCCCGGAGATCTGCCCCCAGCCTTGCTCCGCAGCGGGGCCTGGGTGCCGAGCGGGGCGATGCGGGGGCGGAGCGCCCCGTGGGCGTTGGAAGAGCCTCTTGAGTGATTGGGCGGTTTCGCGCCGTTTCGGGTCCGGGAGACTTTGGGGCCGTCGGTGTTAATCGGGCCCACTTGCCCTGGCCTCCCTCCACACTGTGACCCCCGGGGTCTTCACTTTTGGGATGCTGGACAAAGCAGGGGTTGGGGGGGGCGTTAGGATGTGTAGTTGTCTCCCGATGTTCCCGCTCGCCGCCCTGGTGTGAAGGCTTCAGCGGTTTGTACCCAGCTCAGCCCAGCCATCGACCCGCTGGAGTTGTCCCTGCCTTGGGGCATTTGCTTTCTGGAAGTCTAGTACCTTTGATTAGCCCTCTGCATAGAGTTTGGGGAAATTCGTGAGCGTGAGGGTTGGAGATGAAATTATTAAAAGCCGAGTGCCGTGTGCTTTCTTGGTATTTTGGGGGGTGGAAGAGGGGGGAGAAATTGGAAATTAGGGAGAATCATTAGGAGTGGCAGACGCACTGCTGTACTATTTGGGAATTTGATTCGGTCATAAGCTTAATGCGGTGGGGTCTCTCCTTTGTTGAAATTAGCAGAAAGAGATGTGAAGTGGAAATAAATACATGAAGTTCAATTTTAAAACCATTGGGGCTCACAAATGCGAGAGGTCCCGGTGATGAGAGTAGCTCAAGGCCGGAGTGCCTACCTTCTCTTGTAAAAGTGATTTACTTGGACTGTTTGGTTTGCTGTGAAAAATCTTTTAAGTGAAGATAGTAGAATGTGCTGATAAAACTGATACAAAAATGGTCTCTGTGTGCCACACAAATAATCTAGCCAGCTTTAATAGTCAAGCAAGGGCGATCAGCTCTCTAAATTTTCCTGACTGAGGAAGCCATTCGTCTAATACAAAGTGATGGATAATATGGCATAAACTTGACAGGTTTTTGGACCCAGATCAGGTAGTTATTGGCGAAAGATTGTGAAGAGGTTTGGGGGGATAATGGAGGAGGACTGATTTTCCTGAATGTCCTGTATCATTTGCTTTCATGTCTGCTAATAGCTAGTGATTAAATTGTAGGGAAGCCCACAAAAGTATGCTTGCTTAGTTAATGAAAACCATTTTTGTTTTTTTTTAATTAAGAGACCAGGTGAATATTACGGCTTTCTTTTTAGTTTTTTTTTTTTTTTTTTTAAGTCTGGACTGGGTGGGATACACAATTGGGGTCGGAATAAATTCAGTAGG